CTAAGGGCGGAAGGGTAACGAATGGCCGGGAACGGTGGTATCCGCGTAGAAATTCGGCTCGTAATCTCCGGTAAGGTTATCCCCCGATAACGAAGAACTCGCGATCCTTCCCCTAACGAATGATCGTCTTGTTCGGTGAACGAGAAGGCAGAAACGTCGACGTACGTTACGGTTAAGACGCTCCTCCGTTCCTGGAGATTCCTCCTTTTCCACCGACGAAATTAGCGGAGGACATGTTTATTGTAAATGAATCCTACTCCGGGAGCGGCTCGTGGAAGACTGGTACATGTTCCAGGGGTGGTGAATCGGAGGGACGAAGACGGAGGTAAAGAGAGAGGAGGACGTGGAGAGGGTAGTTTGGAGGGCGCGCGCGCTCGCTGCTCCGATTTATGCGCCCGTTACCGAGCCCTCTGGCGCAATTAAGCTCGCGTTATAATATTGTTGTTTATTCTGAGCCTCGGCTGCGAAGCGTTAACCACCCCTTCGCTCCGTGCCCACGTTGGCTCTACTGGCAACAACCAACCCTACGATCCCCTAATCTCCCTGACGCGGCAGCTAGAATCTCTCGCTCTATCCCATTTCCTTTACCACTCTCTCCCTCTCACCTCGCCTCGCGCTCTTTTCTCTCTCACTCTCGCCGACTTACAGCATCAGCGCGAAATGCGGGACTAACAAACCACTCCCTGGCGGTCGACAGAAACGAAATTCCCAGTTTTGTTTGTCCCAGCAGGACCGCCTTTGATTGGGATTCGCGAGTTAATTTCAACTTATTTTGACGCGCGGTCACGTACGCGCTAATGAAGCTGGCTTTTTGGGGTCGAGAGTGCCTGACGTTTGCCCGTTCGATCGTTTGTTCCGATTTGCGTTTCCATTCGCGCCAAATCCAAACGATCCCCGCCTCGATCGAGAGGGCCGCTTTGACCGGCCTTTCCTCCCGAAAGATTTATCGTTGGAAGGGTTGGGAGGATCGAAACCGAGTACAGGATCGATCGATTTAACAACTCGGAGCCGCGTCAAATCCCTCCCACACTCCTACGCGAAGAATCCGAATCGTTGTGCACGTACATATGCGTTTAATAGATTTATCCTCTTGTTTACATAAATTTGAGAAATCTATAATTAAAGCCGCGATTCGTCTTACGAGCTTTTATCTCGGCTGGAATCGAGCAATTTATACCATTTAAACAACGCGTGAATCACTTGTTAAACCGGTTCTCGACTCGATCTTGGTAACACTGACGAAACGAGCACGGACGAAATTCGTTCCAGCCGAAATCGACGTTAACTCGACGACAAGTAGAAACGTCGGTGGTCCTGGTCCACCGTGTGTACGCTGTTTACGGGAATCGGATTGAACGGGAGGAATTTCGCTGAAAGTACGTACCTACGCGCGCATATGTATGTGTTGACGCAAGTGTTGAGCGCGCGACTGGCCAAAACTAAAAACCCGGGACGAGATGTAGGAGAGATGAGGATGGAATCTAAAGGAGCGAAGAAGAAGATCTCCCGATGACTTCACATCGAGAGAGGGTATAGTTCGCCATGATCAAGATCGGGCTCGGAGAAAGACGGATAGAGAAGAAAAGAGAGGGGCGCAGATGTACGGAGGAGGAGGAGGAGGAGGAGGAGGAGAGAGAGAGTCGGAGAAAGAGGAAGACAAACGCAGGTGCAACCTGCACCGGTACGGGACGGACGTACGGACGTACGAACGGACGAAGGTGGGATTGAGTTATGACAGCGTTTGCTCCAGGGGGCCGGCTCTGGACCCGACGAAGCGGATATTCTTCTTATTCTTTATTTCTTCGTCTGCGGCCCCGCCGTAGAAACCGTCGGCCATGCATCACCTTCGGTTCACTTTGGTCCTGCCTCCTCTTCGGCATCGTTCCACGGCCACACCACCATCACGGCCCATCACGATCCCACCTTAGCCATCGTCCGTTCGAAACGTTGATTCCACCCACCGCGGCAGCCTCGACTCGACTCGACTCGACTCGACTCGACTCGACTCGACTCGACTCGACTCCATTCCACTCCACTCCACTCCACTCCACTCCACTCCACTCCACTCGACTTAACTCGACTCCACTCGAGCCGTAGGCTCTCCGAGTATTTACTTTTTAACCGTCTTCGTTCGACCCGTATCGCGACTATACTCGTTTCCAGTTCGCCGCGCCGCGCTGATTCGAACCGTCGTGGACAGTCTCGTTCTTGAAGAGGGAGAGAGAGAAAAGCGAAAGATTCCTAAATTACTGGCACAGCCGATCCTCCTTTGGAGAGACGCAGGCCAGTCTGGAAGATAGGCCGGTGACAGAGTCGAAGAAAGAGCGAGGCAGAGTCGCGCGTAAATCATTGGTGGTAATAAAGATCCACTTGTCGTGGCCCGATATTTATGAATCGCCCTCGGTTCTCCTCCATGGCAGAAGAAGAGAATCGGCTTTTAGCTCTCGTGGCTAGTCGGAATGAACGATCGTCCGATTTCGAGATAATCGAAGAGGTCAGGGGCGGAGGGGACTAGGCCGCGACGGACTTTGCCACGGGAGGAAAGACGAGAGGAAGGCGAGAAAGGCGCGAAAGGCGAAGGGAAGACGAGTCGAGAAAGCGTGGAAGGAGGGCGGGCGAGGGCGAGGGAGGTAGGAGGAGGGCGGGAGGCAGGAATCGGGGAGGAGGAAGAGAAAGAGAGGCAGCAGCAGAAGAAGAAGTCCGAGTCGACGTTCGTTGTAGAGGCCGCAGACCGACAGACCGAGCGAAGGACCGCGAGGCCATAAATACCTCAGCGCGTTCAGCCAATTAAAACAAATCATTTTAATGCGCAACCTTTTTAATTAATGCCCGTGCTCGCTCGCTCTCATCCGCTTCCCTCCTCTCAGATAGTACACGATCGCTTCACTGGCTCCGCCATTCCCATCCCAGAACGATCGAGGCTATATTAACCTGTAGTACGTCGCTATATCCTGTCTGATTTTACCTTCGCGAATGCACCACTCTCCGCTATCCTTCGTTGCTGCTGCGACCCTGCCAGATAGAGCTCGTCACTCAGTTTTCGCTTACTTCCATTTAATTAGACGAATTTCCGCCCTACCGATTTCTATTCTTTTCCCTCCCGAGGGGTCGCGGCGCATCGCGCCCGTTATTGACGAATCTAACGAGGATCGTACCGACGCGGATTAGACTTTTAAATGACCTCGAGCCGAACCGGCGCATATTTCACGAGATGACGGTGGACGTCGCGCTAAATCATCCGGAGTGACCGCATCCGCTTACCCAATCGGACCGAGACTCTTCTTAACGGCCTCTTGTCACGCCTGCGACATTCCACCGAAACACACGCTTCGAGAACGTGTCGCCTTCCTCCTCCATTCGCCCCCTGTCCATCTCCCTCTCTCTTTCGTCAATGTCGTTGCCGCGAGACGCGCTTTTGTCGGCCACCGTATTAATATTGTTCCAGAGGAATTCCAATCCCCCGGAATGGGCCGACAACACGAGATTTCCCAACGCTATAATTCACCGGGACGGTGCGGCGCGTTCCTCCTCGTCGTTGTCGTCTCGGCATCCGCGTCGCTCCGATCAATTTTTAACCGAATCGTCGCTCGTTCGACTCGATCGCGAATTAAAAGCTAAAAATCCGTCTAGAAAGCGCAATTGCACATAATACGGCCGTGGTGGTATTAATATCATTCTTATCGAGGCTCGAATCCACCGGAAAACTTTCGGATCGTCGGTACAACTTGGACGTTACAGGTAGATTTTCTCGTTGAAAATTTGGATTTAGGGTCGCGAGCGGCAGCGGAGAAGAGGATCGTGGCTAGTGGATGCCCGTGAGCCGGTGCATCCGTAGCGGGTGACACGGGAACGTAGTTGCAAAGGCTAGCCAAGTGCAGGTGTAAGAGAAGGTACGTCCTAAGCTCGTGCGAGGGCGTGTATAACCTGACATTGTAAAAGTTGCCGTTACACTTGCGTAGCCAATTGGGTAGGCCGGGACTCCCTCTAGGACGGCCCAGATCTCGTAGCCTCTTCTGCTTCGTCTCTGTCCCTTCCTCGGCCTTCCTTTCTTCTTCTTCTCTTCTCTTCTCTTCGAGCCTCTTTTTCTTCGATTTTCTTCTTCGATTCCCTGTCCTTCGTTCTCGTTCGGTCTGTTGCGCGCTCGTGGGGCCCGCTGCCGGTATCGTCGAGCTGCCATCTCGAAAAATCCGTGTCCTTCGTTCTGCTACCGCGGTAGGTTTCCCGCACGGTGACCACGTTCGCTCGCAAAGATCTCGAGACAGGAGCGAGAGATACGTACGCGAAGATCGTGGCTACCACGTTCGGAAATTTGCTGCCGATTTCGATAACATCGACGAGCTTTCGCTTAGTTTTATACGTGCTCGAAGAATCCCGGTATTACGAACAATCCCTCGTTTAACAATTTTCGAAAGAAGAAGAAGAGGGCGGAAACTAGGGAAGGAGCGCGAGAGCTCGTCGAGTTGGTCGACTAGCCGGGAGTAAGTTCAGTAACCGTATAGATCGTCACCTCTTGACAGAAACTATTTAAAGTGCAGCTCTTGTGTGCGCTCGCCGGCAGGTTGATATAGGATGCAACAGCTGCGATCGGATCGTACGGCGTGCGAACAGCCGATGGTCACACGCGTACCATGCATTCGTGGGACCATTGTGCTGTCTTATTACGCGTTGAATTTCACGAAAACGCGTCCCTTTAAGTCGCAAAATCATTATTCTCGTGTCCGGCCGATCGCGACGACTGCTGCTATTCGAAAAATTGTACGAATCTTCCCGTGAAACACTTTCCGGATATACGCCTAAGTAAGTACGTATCCGGAAAATATTTTCAAAGGAAAATATGTTCATAGGTATTTCTTTTTCCGCGCGAACCTTCTCTCTTTCGTTTCAGGCACGCTCTGCGACAGCACATGCTGCGGCACGCCGGGAAAAAGTACAAGTGCGGACTTCCGGGCTGCCCGACGGTGCTCCGTACAGCCTCTGAATTGAGATCGCACAGAAGCTTGGTGCACGACAGCACGCCGTCCGACAGACGATACAAGTGCTCCGATTGCTTTTACGCGGCCAAAACCAAGACGCAGCTACGCAGGTACGTAACTCCCGCCTCTCTCTCCGTTCGACCTCCACTCTCCGCTTGCTACCAATTATCGTTGTCGTTAATTTTAATCGAGATTCGCGTGATCGATGTCTTTGAGGAAGTGGAGAATTAATTGCGATGGGCGTAGTACCGCGAGTGCGGGACTCGACTATTACCGATACAATTTCTTCCATATGAGTTACAAGTACCTCGGCCTGTAATTATTCGGAAAATACTCGTCCGCGTATTCTGCATGCATGCTTCTTTAATGGACGATCGTGCGCTTCACCCACGAATCGATTGATTCTTAATCGTCTAGGTGGACAGATGGTTGAACGATAACACCGGAAAATATGCGAGCAGCGTTTGTCGTAGATCAGACCGACCGATTCGATTTAAATTAAGCCTTATTAAGGACATTGTATCGTGCGAAGGCTGCTAATAAATTTCATCTCGTTTGATTCGCTATTCTTTCCCGTTGTTTTTCCCCCTTGCCGAACGAGTAACCAGTAGGGGAGAGAGTACGTGAGAAAAGAGACAAACGGTGAGAGGGATGGATAGAGACGGAGAGATGAAAAGAGAAAGATCGACGAAAGCGGAAGTTGCGTGCAGCAGTCGGCCAAGTGCGGGCAACCCGTTATGATCGTCCGCATCGCGATGGTCGGCGCGATATTTCATCGCGAATTGAGTACTTACTACGTGAGTCGAACTCAACGCAGCCACAGAGTGTCACGAGCTCTCTTTCTCTTCCACCTCCGCGTTCTCGACACAGTCTCTCTCTTTCTCTCTCGCGCCCCGATCTTCCCCTTTCCGTGTTCCTCTTTCGTTCCCTTTCTCATCGTTGTCCTGTAGCGTCGCCTTTCCCTCTCCGTCTCTTTCGGTTTCGCTCTGTGCGGCGGAGTAAATCACAGAGGATTTTAATTAAACGTGTCACGCATTTCGAACCTGATACACACGTAGCCATGGCCAATCGCTCCCTCGTAATATCGCGCACGCATATCGCATCCTTCATAATCACCGGCTGCTTTGCCGACGCGACGCGACGCGACGATGAACCATCCAGCGTATACAATGTACATACCGCATTGTACACTGTACGTTGCTGATCGGCCGAAAAAGCGAATTACGTACTTGTTACAGGCATCGCGCTCGACACGACGACCCGGGAGGTGTGACGAGAGCTGCCACGGATCTACGCACATGCCCATACGCCGGTTGCGCTTTTAAGACGAAACTCGCCTCTCATTTGCAGCGGCACGTGCGTCTCCATACGGGCACCAAGCCGTACAAGTGTCGTCATTGCGCTTACGCGAGCAACAACTTGGTGAGTACGTACATAGACTGAAAGATGGTGCATACGTAGTAGGATGGAGGAAAAGTGGGAAAAGATCGCGCTTATGTTTCCGGTGTACGGCGGCGGTAGGGAGCAGGGGGGCGGGAGTTGACTCGCAGTTCAATTTTTGTACCCGCGGTGACTCTGCGGCGTAAATTAAGCAAAGTACACCTTAACGTTTGGACCATGCCGCCGCCTCTGCCGCCACCGAGGCGCGATAAGATAACGAGTTAATTGTGCTCACTGGATGCCCACACACGCACGGCCCAGTCATACCGAGCGGCCGGTATGCTAATGCCCTTTGAAGCTTTAGTTAGGATGCGACTCGCATACGAGGGCTCCGTGTCTCTTTGATAGCGACATAAACTCATTCCAGTGGCTCTCAGCCTGGGATAACTTGAGCCAAGGTAATCTCGCGGTACGGAGAATTGCGAATGGTACGTCTTGCATCGGTAATGATACAACGGTAGGCACTTCTCCACCGTAGAGAGTCGTCCTCGGCGTCGTATACGCGCCGGGCGAAAAACCTCGCGAGCGTTTTCCTTCCGCACGCGCGTCATCCAGATCGGATAACGATTACGATCGGGTAATTGGAAGGAACGATTTGGAATTTTTAACGTTTCGAGGAGAACGGATAGGTGAGATGGCACGTGAACGAAGGAGGTAGGAAAAGTTGGAGGATAAGAATAGGTGGCAGTATCGAGTTGGACGGTCGATGGTCGTTTACTCGGCGAGAGTTTAATAAGAAAGGAAAGAAGGAACGCGCGCGCGAGTAGCCGATTTAACGACGAAATTCCCTTCCACGTAGCGAATGGCTCGCCTTGCGTCAACGAGATTACACGCGCCACCTTTCTTCCTTCGTACCTCCGTCCAGTCATGGTCCAGTTATGATTTACCTCGGATGGTTACACGCTTCTTTCTTCGCCTTCGTATCTGGCTTTTCCCTCCAGTTTCGCGCCTTCGTGTCGTGTAACGGTGGTAATTCTCGAAGGCAGCGTTAGTTACTTTCGGATCTGCTTCGCGTTTCCACGCATCTTCCCCCTCGGCTGCCGCCGTCGCTTTTTATCTCCCTCTCCGACTAGGCTTTACTCTCCCGGTAAAACATCGCCGAGTCGAGATAATAAAGATTTAATAATTCCCGCCTATCGGCTCTGTCTGTTAGGCGATCGAATCGAAGCGATACGATCGATTTATTTCTATCTCGGATGAAAGAGAGAGAGAGAGAGAGAAGGAAGAATTTACCTGGAGAGATGATTCTCTCCGCTCAACTGGGGGCATAAACGTTGGCCAGAATTGATTTGCGATCGTGTAAAAAGTGGAAACGCGCACTCGTTCGATATACATATACATATGTATATTCGATCGAGATAAAATCTTGATTTGGGTTAAAGATCCCGGCAGTTTGCGCTTGTAATTTTACAGAGGACTTGGGTCAGTGACCGTGTGCAGGAGTATGTCGGACTTATTCCCGTATTCGATAATTTCCATACGCGTACGTTACGGGAGAAGATTTAGGTTGGAGTCACGGTACGGTAGGCTGCAGGTAGAAAGAAATTAATATTACCGCGGAATCCCGAAAGAAATAAAGCAGAAGGAAGATAAAGCGGCGCGATTGGGAATCCTAGAAGGAAGGATTCCTCGTAAAATGGAATATTGTGTAGCGCAAGCGCAGATGTAACGGAAAATTATATCGAAAGAAATGGGAATCGATCGGGATTAAGGAGAGGGCGCAGGGTGTATAGGCGATTTGCGTGACGGCGCGCACTTTCCGCGATTCGGAGTGTACCACCGCGTAAAAGGTAGACGGCCGCCCATGACGGTGTGAACGGGTCTTTATCTGAGACCGTCACGGAGCGCTGGCCGTGCAGAAAGATTTACTTATGGGAAATTAAATTTGATGTTGCCGTTGCCATCAACGGCTCGTATAAGCCCGCCTGGTAGGAAGATGTTTACGACTACGGCCAGCTACTTAGCCCGAGAGGGTAAAGCGCCTTTAAATGCTCCATGGCATAGCCAATGAACGCGTCCGGTTTGCGGCAGACCGATTCTGGTCGCAGGTATTCACCGTCGAACGATACCAACCGACCGTCCCGACCGTTCCCCGGCACACAGCACTCGCCTCTGACTCACCCAGCTAACCGCATATCATCTAGCTACAATGTGCCCCCTCCGTTTTCTTCTTCCAGGAGAACCTGAGGAAACACGTGCTCTCGACAAACCTGCACCCAGGCAAGACGATCTACGAATGCGACGTTTGCCAAGGAGAGAACGTGGAACCGTTTCGTACCAACTTTGCTAAAGAGCTTCGGGCGCATCTCTTGGAGACTCACAACGAGGCTTTTCCGACGCCTGGCCACGCCAACGACTACGTCTTTGGGATTTTCGAGGACCGTCGTTCGGACTCTGCGGCGGCTTTCGTCGACGAGCCGAGTCAACCGAATCGAGACGTTGCCTCGTAATTCTCGCGAAGGACGGACTTACCGGTTGGTGAGGAGAAATTTACGGAGCGTGTACGTCTTAAAATTGTCGAGAGGTGACCTGCAACGCGGTCCGCTCGGAAGAACGTCTTTACGAAATATATCCTTCGGATCGACGGTCGTTGGCGAGAACGTTCTTGAATTATCTTCGATTCATCGAGCCACGGACATAGCGCGCATGCGATTCTCTTCCTCCTCGTCCTCGTCGTTGGTCGTTTCTCGTTTCTCGTTTCTCGTTTCTCGTTTCTCGTTCGTGATCGTGCGAACCGGTAGGCCCGCACTACGCCAGGAAATAGTTACGGTGATGTACGGTCACGTGGCACGTTACGAATCTTTACGTTGCCGTGATATTGCGAGAATGGTTCGAGTTCACCTTTCCGCGACGTCCCGAAATTTGCCCGGCGGAAAGAGTACACGCGCTAATCTCTCGAAGCGTGTCCGCTTCGTGTCGTTTCCCGTTGCCCCACGCGGTATCGGAAACGCGGACAAGGGGGTGGAGGTAAAAGAGAGTGGTACTCGGAGGTAGGGGCGAGGCTCTCCTCTGGACGAAACGGTCGTTGAAAAATTCATCGTGGCTGAAAGCCAGCGGCGGACCACCTCGTGGATCGTCTTACAAGACGCGTTTCCGTCTTCGAGGGTCCTGATTGTGAGAAATGCATCGTGCTGTCGCGCGAGATAGGTGTCGTAAAGTATGCGGCCCTTGAGTTCTCCCGGGCAAAAAGGACGAGGCGCTCGAGAGAGAGAGAGAGAGAGAGAGAGAGAGAGGAGGCAAGACGGAGATGGAGAGAGAGGACGGGCGTCGTGAGCGCGAAGGATAATTTATTGACTAATTAACGAGGATGTCCTTCATTACGGGTCGAGCAGCAGTCGTGGTCGCTTGCTCTCGCTCGGAACCGGCATTATTTGGCGCCCGAATATTTACGACCGCGTCCTCCTTCTGGCCGTGGACCGGGTCCTCCGCCCCGATGCCGATCCCGATCCCGATGCCGATGCCGATGCCGATCCTGATGCCGATGCTGCCTCTGTCCCCTGCTCGAGAAACAAACCGTGTGGGAGGGGGCCGAAGGAGAAGAGGAAAGAGCGCGCGGACCCATAACGACGTGTCCCGATCTTACGGCGATTCGGAGGACTTGGAATTTCCTTGCTTCGCAGGGGGATCCTACGGCCTACTACGACACGGCCACGAAACTCGCGGGCGTTACTCCTCCGGACAAAGGATCGCGCTTAAATCTTTGCCAAACTCGATAGCCAACCAACAACCATCGGGAGGGGCGTCGCGTCGGTAAAGGGAATTAGAGCGGGGTGCGTGCACCTCTTTGGAGGATTTTTATCGCGAGTTTATCAGGCAGAAGAGGGAAACCGTATCGGTACCTATCGTAGCTAGAGAAGAAAAAGTAACGCGAAATTAGTGTGAACTGCAAAGTGCTAAGAAGTCGCGACAGGATGGTTAGGTACACCGCTTAATGAAGATATAACGAGCCTGGCGC